TTTCCTCACTTCAATATGTTCTGTGAGTGTCAAATTTTCTAAGCCCTCTTTCCTCATTATGTGCCCTAGAAATCTCAACTGCCCATTTCTTTTGATAGGTATAAATGTCATTTATTTAACCTATTCATTACCTGCTTCATCTTAGTTTCTAAGCTTTTTGTCTTGCTTTGCATATATTGTTTGCTTAATATTTCTTCCCTGTTCTCCTCTTTTCTTTTTATTGTAAACTTTGTCAATTCTGTTTGTTGGGCAGTTCTGCCAATTACTGTACAATTTGTTTGGTTTTTTTAATGGCTTATCAACTTTTTGCAGGTTATTTAAAGCCATAAAATATTTTCACATTGTAAAAGTTATTTTTTGGGATGGGAGGAGATAATGATTTTTATGTATACATGTTCTACTAATTAACCCATAGCTGGGGGAGAATAGATGTATTCATACCTTTTCCAAGGATATTTAATATAATGAAGTCAACTGGAAATGAAACTTGGCTCTCCAATCTTGAGTCATTGTACCACCTCTACATCCAAGCTTACAACACCTGGTCTTCCCAAGCAGTCACCTATCTAGGAAATTACCATGTTTGATGTTGTTTCAATATGATAAGGCCGTAAGGCTATGGAATGTCAAGGTGTAGATATTAACATGTAGAATAAATTCTTCAGGTATATGTGACATTGAGTTAATCAAATATCTGCTTCTTTTACACTTATTTATAAATAAAAATAAATCTATATTGTACTTACTTTCTTTTTAAATCATTAAGTCCTATGCAAGGCAAGCCACTAAAACTCAAGGATTACTGAATGTGAGAATGAGAAAAAAACATTAATAAGAAAATAATAGAACAGAAATCAAAACAGAAACTGAAAGAGAGTTATTCAAATGAGTACAATAGAACTAACTTTTACATTTAGCCATTTTGCTGCCAAGCTAGTAGTATTCTTAAATTCATAAAGTCTAGTTAGCAAAGAGAGAAGCTCATCAGAACAATTATAATGAAAATATTTATAGAAAAAGACAACAGGAAGGTGAGTTATGGAAGTGGGGGGGAAGTGAATGAAGCAGGTCAAGACCAATAATATTGCAGATTCTTCTTTGTATTTTATCATCCAGAATCTCTAAATACATAGCAAAAGTTTCTTTTGCATATTATACAAAAAGTTTATTGCTCATATAAATATAAGTCTTGAAAATGTTACCAATGTTTGTTGGCTAATAGCAATATTTATTCTGAGCAAATTCACTGGTGAGAGGAAAGTAAAGTTACAACTTTTTAAACATTGAGCTAAGTTTTTTAAACATCTAGCAAAGTTAAAGAGAATAATGCATTTATAAACATAATTTTGTTATACAAAGTTGTGCAAAAGTTTTGTCCCTACTGCAGCTGTGTACAGTGATAAGAATTTTTACTTGTATCAGATCCCCAAATTATGCCTGTCAATTATCTATCAATCTCAGTCAAATTTACTTATATTCTTTTTTTGAGATTTTCTAAAAATGATGGCAAATCCTCCTAACTACAATATTTTACTTAATTTCTGAGCTTTGAGGGCATTGCTTAAACTACAAGCAAACTCTGCAGTAACTCCATTTGCAAATGAACACATGCAGTTAAGAATAAGTGTCAGGCTTTGAAAGATGTTGAGGCTAAACATGACAGCAACCAAAGTCAACATGCGAGAGAAAAAAGAAATCAAAGACTAATGAAATTCTTGCCCTAAAGTTGAAGAGAGGATTGGCAGCAGTTAATAACCAAGAAATGGTGCTGAGTATCTAAGAAGGAATGGGAAAATGTATAGAGAAAAAAATTTAAAACACTCGACGTGTAAATACTGTAGATATGCACAAAAAGATAAAGGGCAAAAAGAAAACATACTTTTTGAGATGAATTAAATCGAAAGCATCTAAGAATGATCTTGGTTAAAATGAAGAGGAACAAAGTAACAAGAGCAAATAAGATTATAACAGATACTGACAGTCTTAGATAACTTTGAAGTATGACAAATCAAATATATGACAACAGTGGATCCAAGTAAATCAATTTTCATAGCCTTTCTACAAATCAGTTGCAAATGAACGAGAACTTCACTACCCAATCAACTTGATGAGCCACATAGAAAAACTAATAATTAGGATTCTAAAATTTTCCTAGTTACAACTAAGACAAATACCAATCCATGCTAATCAAAGTTGGAAAGAATCTCAAATGTTTTACTATCGAAGGCATTTAATGTATTAACATATTTTGTTAATTTTCATGATTTTTTTGTTCAAAGTATACAAACTGAAAAAAGAAAAAAATTTTTTAGAAAATGTTCTCACTAGAAATTTTATCTTTATTTTTTAACAATAAAGTCTGTTAAAAATCAGCAGGAACATTCACATACATATATATATATATATATATATATATATATATATATATATATATATATATATAAATTATCTTGAGGTATTATTCTTGTACATTTGACCTTGTCTAGGTTTTAAAAGTTGACATGAGATACTTTTTACAATCCTCTTTTTTGCTAATCTTTAAGAATCCCCCTACTTCTTTTTTTTTTCTCTTGTTCAAATTTAAATAGTAGCAGAATTGAAATATGAAAGACTAAGTTTGTATTTGTTGTTTTGTTTGTGAGCCTGGGAATGAATTGTTCAATGTACTTAAAAGGAAAGTTTCAAGTGTAATAGGATAGCGAAAATTTTGAAATTATTTTTATTTTTCACTACAAATTACTGTTGAGTTCACTTTGTTTAACTTCCTATGAAATTATGATGTGAATTACTTTTTTTTTTGTTATTGATCTTATCTTTTAAATGAATTTTATTTAAAATTGTGTGAATATTTAATGTTTGGTAATGTTTAACCTTTGTGCTTGCAAAAACTAAGCTTTATTAATAACTTACCATTTTTAAAGAAATAAATTTGAAAAATTTTTATTCAAATTCTTTTTTAAAAATTACAAAATTATCAAAATGTAAAAGATAGAGATGCTTTCAACCTATTTAGTGAGATTGTTACTCGTTATTATGTGTTTATTTAAATTTTCTTGTTCAGACATTTTCATACATTTATGAATAAAAAAAAATTTCATATTTATTTCATAAAATGGTAAATATTCCACTGTAGTTAGTTCACATATTTTTATAATCTTGTAAACAAACAAAGTGTTTAATATCTTTCTCAATTCAAGAATAAAGAAAATGTATAAATCCATTTTCATATGTTTGGATTTATTAAGATTCTAATCATGTCTTTAAAACAAAAGACATTACTGACCACAGGGTGGTGGGTATCAAAAGGGTATACAGTAATAGCAGTGTCAAGGGAATAACCAGTTTTTTTTTTTTTTTTTACTCTTTTTGTAGGCACGGTTTACCTAATGTTCTTTGTTAGTTTTCATATTGAGTCATGGTACACATTTTCCCTTTGCTTATATATTGTTAGAATTGTTGATGTTCTGAGATTTTTCTATATGGTCATTATGTGTGAGGTGCTGTCTTAGCAATTTTATCCCTCCCTTTGCTAGAACAGTCATTCCCAGGGGCTTTCAAATCTGAATTAAGAATTACTTAAGGACCAGACCAAGGTGAAGGTTTTTTTATTAACAATAGCCAACAAACACTTTAAAAAAAAAATTACAAGTGTCTAAAGTTACCAGCTGAGAAGTATTGTCAGTCATGATTGGATTGCTTAGTTTAAAGTTTCCATTTTTTGTCTCTAGTGAAAGTCAAGAAGTTTCAAATGAGACCAAAATCCAGGACACCATTGTTATCTATATAGTCTTAGATGGATGGAAGCAGCAGATAAATCACCATCTTATTGCTGTCATCAGCAATTTTGTTGTTTCTCAACAAATTGGTGTGACTATAAAATCATTCTTTATTTTCCATAGCTTAACTTTTAAATAACTAATATGTTAATACAGCATGCTTTTGGTGTACATCATAGAATTTGTAAACTCAACTTTTAAGGTGCATAATATAAACATTAAAAAAAAGAATTTTCACAAGTTATACATTTCTATTGTGTTTTAAAATAAACAGATTTATTCATTTTCTTAATGAAATCTTTCTATTTAAATCTTAAAATGAAAGCTTTGGTCACTTCTGCCAGTAATTATTTACAGGCAGATCATTGTCCCCAATTAAATAAGGAGAACTCCTCATTCCATAAATCTGTGACTAATGTGTGCATTAATTCATGACCATCAGATAGGTGGAGCAGTGGTTAAAAAAAAAAAAAAAAACAAAATCAGTGTTTTTTTTTTTTTTTTTTTTTTTTGGATTTTTTTCTTTTGTGTTAATTCAAATGCATTTAATACTGAAAAAAATATAACTAGTTATTTATCTTTTTTTTTTTTTACCTCTAGTATTTGATGGGATGCTATTTGTTTTCTAAACTGTAATAAGTCCATCCACATTTACAGCTCATTTGATAAAAAGCTGAAATGTGACATTGTGCTGTGTTGGCTACAATTTCTTTTCTTTTAAATTTAAGAATTTTGGTGCATTTTATGCCTATTTTAGATAAGAAATCAGAAACGACAATCCTGAATCTGGTCTAATCAATAAGGTTAGTGTTGCAAAAATGAAACTAGAATCAGGTATGGATTTACTATAGCTGTATTCTCTAATTGAACCATGCTTTCTTGTATAATAATTTGAGATTCTAAGCATTTACAATCAGCTAATTTTGAGATCTCTTAAATATAATTTTTTTCTTCAAGATGACGGGGGATATAAAGTTCTCATCTGTTCTCGTAAAATAATCCCAACTTCAGATTTTGCTATTCAATTACTTTTAGCTTCATTCTAGAGTTGGAAAAAAAAAAAAAGAGAATTGGATTATATCAGTGTCTTTGGAAATTACCTAGCCTTCCTATTGATACAGTCTTGAATTTAAATGCAGGAGTGGTTCTTTTAATATAAGAAATTGAATTGTGTACTTTTATGTAAAATATTATAGGAGGATAATGGTATTCTTTCTCTTGCAGATGCTATCAAAATTATATATGAATAATGCTAAACTTGTTTGGAATGGAAACTTTGTGGAAGGAATAACAGATATTCTGGAGTTCCTAGAAAAGCTGCCCTCTACAGAAACATCCGTAGACACATTTGATTGCCAACCCTTGTTAGGTAATTTTTTTTATAAGCATTTCAATTATATCTGTTGACATAATCCAGGCCAGTCCTATTAATGCAACATAGACTTTGAAATATGTTAAAACTGACCCACAAAAGAGTACTCAATGTCTATTTTCATTAAACAGAGCAAATTTTCTTAGCTGGAATTAAGATACCTTTAGTAAATGACCATTTACTAAATATATATTAATTCAAATTTACTAAACCTATGTGTGTGCATATATATATATATACATACACACACACAGAGAAAAACTTCTCCATGGTCATTAAATAGTTAATAAAGTCTAAAAGTTTAAATGTTTGTATGAAATAATCCAATCCAAAGTAAATATGTATGCAATTACATTTTTTTTTTTTTTTAGTAAACTAGAAAGCCTACATTTAGCCTATTTCTAAATTAGTGCTAAAGCTTTAAGATATTTATTATTATTATTATTATTTCTTGTGTTTTTCAGATACCTTTTCCCAAGGGCAGACAACTATTGCTGTGACAATATTTGGCTCCGTCAAATATCACAAACAGAAGGCTCGTGCCTTTCATCAACATTTCATCCTTACTTCCCAAGACAACTTCTGCCGAATTGTTAGTGATGATTATAGATTCCTGGATTGCTGAGAATGTTAACATTTTTCAGTTTTTACCAAATGAAAATTCATGAAACTACAATTACCTTGAGCCAAATAAATCATTTGTATTAAAGAAGTGTTTGTAAAATGTAAACATTTCCCATCATTGTACATCTGTCCATTATCATGACTTCCAATAAAGATGCCTTTTGTAAATTTTGTTTAATTAGTTAAATGGTCTCTTTTCTCAGAGTGGTGATTGGAAATTAACAAAATGCAAAATCATTTCTTCCCAAATTATTTTTAATACAAAAAATTCACCAAGAAAGTTTGTTTGTTTGTTTGTTTTTTTTTCCCCCTCTCTATAATTCTTTTAAATCACAGCCTCTGTATAGGAGAATACCAAACATTTTTAAGATAAGGATAACTTTAAAAAAAAAAAAAAAAATATTTGAGGAATGTGTTAAGGTAAGTCTATATTTCTTACAATAGTGCATGGGTGTTTTTTTTTTTTTTTTTAAGGTTTATTGTAACAGTGCTACACACTTGCAGCTTTTTTAATACTTACTGTTGCATCAATTTTTAAAAATTTTTTTTTTTTTTTTTTACCCAACTGATCTCTAGAGAAAAAGCTTAACCTCTAGAAACAAGCAACAGAGAATGTTGGGTAGAGGTTGTACTATTTTCTCATTTCCAATATGCAGAAATTGCATCATAAACAACAAATACCCCTTCCCCAATCAGCTAAATATCCATATTTAACAGTTTTGTTATTTTGTTTTTGAGGCACTTTTGTGTTGAACAGTATTATTTTTAGATTTCGGAGGTGCAATCAGCTTTGGAGCTTGGGTGGGCCTTTGTGGTAGAGAGGGTTTTTTCACAGGCTTTTGTGGTAAAGAGGGTTTTTTCACAGGTTTTTGTGGTAAAGAGGGTTTTTTCAGCCCAGATTTTGGAGGAACAGCTTTTTTCGGGGCAGGTTTTTTGGGTGGGTACATTTTAAGAACTTGTTTATGGATTTCTGTTAAGGCATTTTGGAGTTCTATTTGTTTAAGGCTGTGGAACAGTTGATTGCTGGTATATTGTCGATTCTCTTTTTTGAGTTTGGCTAATGTTGCTAACCATAAATGCCTCATGGCACCAGTTTTCCAGGCGTTTGTTACCAGATACTTACAAGTTGAATTATCTACATAACAACGAAGGCCATGACCTTGGTTTAATGTCAAAATATTCACTAAATTATGGTAGCTGACATTTGGCACCTTGGAAGGAAGCAAACCATAAAGGTAGACATCATCAACCCAGAAGAAGGGCGTTGAAAATGAAGCTTGATACATGGCACGAACAAGATCAGTTGAAATGAATACAACATAGCCATTGCAGTAAGTTGTTGGATAGTAACGCAAACCTTGGAATTCATCATCTTTGACCTTCCACTTTTGGGGGTCTTTTGAGCGGACAATTGGGCTTGTGTTTTTGTTACGTACATGGCACAGAATGTAGCGAGACTTACTGTGATATTTTGGAAAGATCTCTGTGTACAACTTAAAAATATTCACATAAACGTCATCGTCAACTTTTATGACCATTTTGGAATGTTGACAGTTTTCGCTCAACCACCTGAAGCCGAGCACTCCCTTATGTGTCAAGTTCTGATAGGAATCCCGAAAATTACCTTGTATGAGATCTCGATAAATTAGATTTTCATTTTCTATGGCAAACTGAAGTTTAACGCTGTTTGGCTTGCCCAGAAGAAATATTATTCGCACAGATATTTTCTCATAGAAGTTTTTATTTGCCCAGGTTTCACGGATTGTACGTCGTCTTTCAAAATGGTTAGGTGCTGTGTGCACGATTATTATGAATGTTAAGTTCTTAACTTCCTGACAAATATCTGGATTGTTGATTAAATATGGAGAATCTATAGTCAATGGATAATTAGTTTTCTTAATGATTTCTGGTCGCTTGGGTACAGTCGTCACCTGTGGAGTTGTGCTTGTTATTTGTTCAGATGAAGTCGCTTGGCCAGTTGTATTCTCTTTAGTCAATGTAATTTTTAAAGGGATATTTATTAAACCATTTTCAGAAACAGTTTCTTGACGTATTGAATAGTTAGCATGTTCCTTTCTAACAACGTGATTTGGAAAGTCTAGCAGTATGATGGTTCCCACCACAAAAACTAATGCCACAATGAAGTAGAAGAGGCGACGGAATCGCATTTTTCCAAATGGAAACATTACGGTCAGTTTGATGACTGGTAACTGATCAGAGGATAAAATGGCTTTGGTATATCCGCAAAAGAAGCGCTATCTGAAAGTAAAAAAAAAGAATTCAATTAATGAAATGAACAAATTTGATTGCCGTACTTAGTAAAATATTGAAGATTAGACAGTTTCTTACTGTTTTTGAATGAATTTCAACTTATTCCAGATTAGTTCAACTGTTATATGTACATCTAGAGTAAATGGTTAACATAGACAGGTTCAAAAATAAAGGACGTAACTGTTCATAACCAATAATTATAATAATAAGGCTGTTAGTTTTAATTGATGGGAAGACACTACATACACAAAAACAGAGCTGTTGTTAATTTTAACTGATGAGATGGCAAACCAAAAAGAGAAAGAGTTGTCAGTTTTAACAGATGTGACGGCAAGCCAAAAAATAGAGCTATAAAATGACTAAACAGTAAAGCCTAGAGAGAGAATGAGAAAAAGAGCCGAAAGTTTTAATTGACGTGACAAGACAAAAATAGAGCTGTTGTCAGTTTGAACTGACGAGCTACCTAGCCAATGAGAATATTAAAACTAATACTTTTTCTAACAGTGTAGCAAACGAAAAAATAAAATAAAAAGAAGCTGTCAGTTTTCAGTGATCAGGCCAAAAAAGAGTAAAGAAACTGCCGTCAGTTTTAACTGACAGGACGGCAAGGCCAAAAAAAGAGTAAAAACTGCCGTCAATTTTAACTGACAGGACGGCAAGGCCAAAAAAGAGTAAAGAAACTGCCGTCAGTTTTAACTGACAGGACGGCAAGGCCAAAAAAGAGTAAAGACACTGCCGTCAGTTTTAACTGACACGACGTCAAGGCCAAAAAAGTGTAAAGACACTGCCGTCAGTTTTAACTGACACGACGGCAAGGCCAAAAAAGAGTAAAGAAACTGCCGTCAGTTTTAACTGACACGACGGCAAGGCCAAAAAAGAGTAAAGAAACTGCCGTCAGTTTTAACTGACACGACGGCAAGGCCAAAAAGAGAAAGAAACTGCCGTCAGTTTTAACTGACACGACGTCAAGGCCAAAAAAGTGTAAAGACACTGCCGTCAGTTTTAGCTGACACGACGGCAAGGCCAAAAAAGTGTAAAGACACTGCCGTCAGTTTTAACTGACACGACGGCAAGGCCAAAAAAGAGTAAAGAAACTGCCGTCAGTTTTAACTGACACGACGGCAAATCAAAACGAGAAAACGCCGTCAGTTTTAACTGACAGAACGGTAAGCCCAAAAAGAGTGAAAAAAAAGAAGTCATTTTAAACTGACAGGACGGCAAATCAAAAAGACAACTGCCAGTTTTAAATGAAAGATCTTATGTCAGTGCTGACACTGGTCACTTTTGCCCTTTGTTGAAGATACGTCATTTTACATGACACACCCAGAGTCTGGTCTAGTTGTGTAGGAATATCGAAGTAATGTGTTGTATTTTGAATGGCATCAGCGGAAAAAAAAAATCCTTAAAACACAACGGACACTTTGGAAGCAGGTAAGAGAAACCCGCAGGTCATAATACGTAATGTGTGCAAAACTTCCCAGACCCCACTATTTAAAAAGAATACTAGCAACCGAATACGCCATTGGAAATAGGTTTGTCGCAGGAAGCTTTTACTGCAACTGATAAAAAAATAAAATTAAATACTAATTGGTGTGTACAGTAAAGGGTGACCAAGACGCTTACAGTGTGTATTTAAAAAAATAAAAGAAATACTCTTACAGAAACGTCTTTTTAACAGAAAGAAGTTTTCTCCTCAGAAACTATGAAAAGCATCACTTTCCACAAAATTAAATTTATCTGCCATTGTATCATTATAAAGAATGTATTTACCAGAGTTTAATAATGCATAGCGATGGTCAACAGTTGAAACGAATTCTAGCCTAATTGAGTTTCCCTTTACTGTGGTCTTGTACTGAAAATAAGTTATGTCTACAACACTGAGCGAGGGATTCAAGTATTTTCCCCATCACCATTAAAACCTTGTATTTGGTATTAGATATGCAAAAATAAATACCATAACTAGGTTTCCAACTATAATAATCACTTTATATGATTATAGTTACGGAATTGTAAATTATGGGCGAAATCTAAGAGAACCGAACAGCTTTCACTTCAGGTCACATTTATAGGTATCCTTTCAGGACGTAGGCGATCATGACCCTCCACTTCCCCCATATCCATTGTGGCTCTCAATGGGTTTTGTGTTTCTGCCAACTTCCCCAGACCACGCTCTGCTATCCACCTGCCCAAGCTCGCCACGTATGTCATGCGCTGTTTTCCCATATCTTCCCCCCCCCATATTCGTCCCGTGAGTATCAGATTCCCCAGGCCCTCCTTTCTCATTACGTGTCCCAGAAATTTCATCTGCCTCTTCCATATGTTAAGTATAAGCTTTCCTTGTTTGCATCCTCTCCAAAACCTCATCGTTGCTCACATGTTCAGTCCATGGTATCCTTAGCATCCTTCTGTAGAACCACATCTCCGTTGCCTCGAGTCTTCTTCATCTTTGGAGACCGTCCAACATTCGCTGCCGTAAAGGAGAACAGATGTCACGTAACGTTCAGTACTCTTTTCTTTGTTTCCAACAAAATCCTCCTGTCTTGTAATACTCTGCCTATCTTTTGGAATGTATCTTTGGCCATCCCAATATATCTTCGGATATCAGCGTCGCACTTACCATCCTCTGTCAGAACACTTCCCAGATATTTAAATTTCCGCACCTGTTTGATTTTAGTGTCCCCGACCTGTAAATCGCATTTTGGGGCTCATCTTTTTTGCTGATGACCATGC